TCCGTGGCCACGGCTGCCACCACGATGACCGCCTCGACTGCCACTGCGGCTGCCAGCACGGCTGCTGCCACGGTAAGCTTGAGCTCCGGGAGTCGGGATATCGTCATAATATCCATATGGAAAGTTGTTGGAGATGTGGCTATAATTAGCAAATCCCCTACTACCCATACTGCCCATATTGCCCATATTGCCCGCGAAGGGAACTTGTGGGGTCATCTCGGGGTGCTGTATGTGCATGGATGGACGGTAGGTGGCATTGAAAATACGCATTTGGCGTTCCATCTCTTCCAACCTTTCTCTTGTTCTTCTTTGCTCCTCATCCCGTATCCGAGCTTCTTCATCCCGCCTTCGAGCCTCGGCTTCACGTTCCTCCAATAGTTTCTCGAGGCGGGTAACCCGATCATCATATGCCGAATGAGAAGATGAGCTAGCTCTTTTGGTCTTCTCGAGGATCCGTACGCCTTCAGAACCCATAAACGGCACCCGGCCCTTGTAAACTCCGGTTGCCGCCAAGATGGCTTCATCATCTTGATTTTCATCAAGTTCGGCATCAGAATCAGCTAGCTCATCAACTCTCTTACCCCGCTCTTCCTCATATTTTTTCTACAAGTTCAAAAAATTATTATATAAGAGATCTAAAAAAATCGAAATTTATTGAATTATGTTTCATTATTTACTTCAATTTCAGAAAGGCGGGGAGGCGGCATGGCACCCTTCTTAGTCCAGCAATGTGCCATGAGTTTCAATGGCGTGACCCGTTTTGGCACGGGTCCAGATCCTTCCTACACGGATTTCAAAGTTAATAAAAATATATATATACATAATGGTATGGAATGGAAATAATTTTAACTGAATAGAGTTTACCAGATCTTTTTTATGTTGACTTTGGGGTTTGCGGCCCCCGTGCCATTGAACTTCCTTGGCTTTATCGGAAGCCCGGTTTGCCTTGCCCATTTCGCTTCTCAGCAAAAATGAGGCATCCGTAGCCCAGTGGCGGCACAGCATCTCCCACACATCATCGCCAAGGAACTTTGGCTTTTTACCCGTAGACCGGGCGGTCCTAAAAGTGGGTCTCAACCACCCAGAAATCCTAGAATTGTATTCTTTGAGAATCGCTTGGTCTAGGGCAAAATGCCAACGATGGGAAGCCTTCATGAAAAACATTGATATATCATCATTTCTTAAATTTAAGTTACTAAAATGTAGCTAAAATATTTATTTTTACCTTGAACAACCGCCACCATAGTTCACGAGTGGCCGCCGGAACCTCACCGTAAGTCGACCACGGCCCGGTGAAATGACCACAAACGATAGCCTTGATTCTATTCAAGACCTCAGAATCGCTTCAAAAAATTGATAATTGATAAAAACAATTGTATTAATTCTTAGATAAAGAGATTATACTATTTTATATTACAGAATGTTAGTATTTTATTACCTATGGATCGATTGAGGTGTCACCTCAAGCGAACCGGGATTGTGGCGCTCTTCTTGAGTGGGGGGGGGGGGGGGGGCATATATTGCACGAGATGAAGGAGGTGCATGAGATGATGCCCCCTCCCCATGCACGCTTATATGAGCGTCTGATTGTTCGGAGGGAGGAGTTTGGACATGTCCGTCAAGAGCTTGTCCTTCGTCGGGATTGATATCATCATTGATATCACGATCAGCATTTGAGACCCGTCGTGAATTCTGACGCCCACGACGAGCAATGGTGGAAAGGCGGCGTTCGTGCTCACTCATCTAAAATTATTGAGAAATAATATATAGAACATATTAAACTGGTGTTTAATATGAGACACATTAAACTTGAGTTTAATATGAGGGGTAGAATGTGTTTTTTGTATGATTTTTATGTTATTGAATTTCATGATGTTAGGTATTATTTTATGGTGTTTTTGTGTGGTATGAAACTTTGATAAATATAACATATTAAACTTGAGTTTAATATGAGGGGTCGAACAAGTTTTTTGGATGATTTTTATGTTATGGAGGTAACTTGTGTTGTGTATATTTAAAATCAATTGATCAAACTTTTTAATTTAAACTAATAAAATCAGTTTTTCCCTATTAAATTATAAATCATCGAAAATCAGTTTTTTACATTAATTTAGAAAAATACAATTTATTACATCTTGTATTTGGTATTATTTATAAAAAACAGTTTTCTAAAATCAGTTTATGAAGTTTTTGTGTGGTATCAATGGTTTAAACTTATTAGTTTCCTATTTATTCATCAAACTTTGAAATATAGAACATATTAAACTTGAGTTTAATATGAGGGGTAGAATGAGTTTTTTGTATGATTTTTATGTTATTGAATTTAATTGTGTTACGTGTTTATCAATCTTTGAAATATAGAACATATTAAACTTGAGTTTAATATGAGGGGTAGAATGAGTTTTTTGTATGATTTTTATGTTATGGAATTTAATTGGGTATGGTATTAATTTATAAAAAAACAGTGACCTGATTTTTAAAATCTATAAAATCAATTTTTTCAAAAAAAATTTAAAAATCAGTTTCATTTTTTGTTTATTCATGAAACCCATAAAATCAATTTTTCATGAAACATATGAAATCATTTTCTTATTATATAAACAAAAACAGTTTGTTTGGTTTTTTATTTCTAGTTTAATATATAAAATACATTTTTTACTTCATTTCTGTTTTATGTTATTTATGAAACAACGTTTTATTTAAAATAAAATATTATAATATCCGAAATTATTTAAAAATCAGTTAAATGATCCAAAAATTTTTAAAGTGTTTTATAATATTAAAAAAATAATATAATATCCGAAATATTATAAAAAAAATAATTAACAGTTTCATTATTTTGTTGGGTTAGACATGTTAACTTTTTTGAAAGTGTAACATGAGGGGGCGAAAATTAATGGAGTTGAAAATATTAGTCTTAATAAATATCCGAAATTAACAAAAACTCAAAATAACCTTGACTGAAAATTTAATAATTAACTATTCTAAAGTAGGCATTCTTAAATTAACAATATCTAAGGCATATTTAAAGCCTATACACAAATGATACACATTATGAAACGTTAAATCTAACCTCACATATGAATATGAAGAAGAACATTTAAACATGCATAAATATTAAGAAAAACATGCCTTATATGGAAATTACGACTATTCGGATATGAATATTCGGAAAACATGCATTATATCCGTGTAATCCGACTATAATTAAAAAAATGCAATAAAATTACGAGCATGCATATGAATATTCGGAAACATATAAACATTAAAACCATATTAAGAAAAACATGCATTAAATAAATAAATTTACGAGCATGCATATGAATATTATGAAAAACATAGAAACATGCATGGATATTAAGAAAAACATGCATTAAATAATTAAAAACATGCCATAAAATTTCGAGCATGCATATTAATATTCGGAAACATGTAAACATTAAACATATACACATATTCGATGCATGATAACTTATTAACATATACACATTAAATTAAACAATTAAAGAATATTAAGAAAAACATGCATTTACTTTTTGGCATTTTAAAACATTTATTCTAAAATATTCGGAAATTAAAGAGTTAGAAACATAACCTCGGAGAAGAAGGCAAGAAATGAAAGGGAAAGAAGAGAAGGCCGGCTTCGAAGAACGGCGGCAGGGGTGGAGATAATCCGCGGTGGCCGGTGAGAGGTGTGCGGCGGTGGTCAGCGGGTGTAAGAGAGGCAGAAGGGCGGCGGAGTGGGAGGCGTTTGGGAGGGTGGCGGTCGGCGGGTGTAAGAGAGGCAGCAGGGCGGCGGAGTGGGAGGCGTTTCGGAGGGTGGCGGTGGGCGGGTGTCGGAAGGCGTAAGGGAGTAGTGGGAGGCGTTTAGGGTTGCTGAAGGAATTGGGAAGCGTAAGAGAAAAAAAAAACTAAGTGTCGTTTATATATTAGAGGTTGTCACGGACCCGTCCGTGACAAAGCCCGTGAGAAATTAATTACGGATTTTTAAATTTGAAATTTGTCACGGATTAATCCGTGACAAAGTTATCGGAACTTGTAAACTGCGGAACAGCAGTCGAGGCGGCAGGGAACGGCAGACGAGGCGTCAGAACGGCAGGCTGACCGGTTTGTCACGGATTCATCCGTGACAACATTCAAATTTTTGAATGTTGTCACGGATTTGTCACGGACGAATCCGTGACAAACCGGTGCAGGGAATATTAAAGCTTTTCAGCCTTAATCAGACGAGGCGTCAGCTACTTTAATTGTCACGGACCTATCCGTGACAAATTTAAGTATAAATATGTGCTTAGAGTCCCATTTTTTCGGTGCGAAAAAATGGCTAATCCAGAACCAGATGTGTGGAAGTTGATCAGTAGAAGTGTACAAAGATTAAAACAAGTTACACAGTTGATGAAGCCTCGAAATGCAGAAGCAGTTCAAAGCATCCGTGAGCTGATGAGTAGACCGCTTGAAAGCTTTGGCGATATTATAGACTATGAATCGGACTCATACAACGTTTCACGAGGGAAAAACTTGCGTAGGGCACTTTTACGCGCAGAACAATGTTCGGAGTATATGATACCTATAAACGCGGAAGCTGCAGAAAGAATTAACGAACTACTTGATAGGCCTCTAGATGAAAGTTTTGACGCTAATGAATAATATTGTGTTTATTTGTTTATCTGTATTGTGAGTTGTTGAATGTAATAAATGATAAAAAATTGTGTGTTTTCTACTTAGTTTTTAAATTTAATAAATAAATTCATGTTCTTGTTTATTAAATTTCGAATTATTAAAATTTTGTAATGTTAAAAAACTAATAACAAATAATGTTAAAAAACTAATTTCCGAATTTTAAATAATGTTAAATTTCGAATTATTTAATTTTCGATTTTCGAAATTACCTAATTAATTTTAAATTTACGAATCGATAATAATGAACCACTAATTTTCAATTGAATAATTTTAAAAACTTAATTTTATTAATTAATTAATCGCTATTTTACAATATAATATGGAATAATTATTTTGTTTAGAAATGATAGTTGCGAATTACATACCTAACTATTATATCTTGGAATAATATAATAATGACGAAAGAAAGTTAAAAATTCAAATTATAATAGTTCAATTAAAAGTAATTACATTGGTTGTTAAGTATACATTTAATCGCTATCAGAATCAGTATTTTCTTGATAGGCAACTTCTTCTTCTGTATCTTCATCACCAGATATCCATTCTTCTTCCTCCTGGTCATCGTGCAGTTGTTGTATATATAATTCTTCAATTTCGCGCTCATTTTGAGGTATAGGGGGCGGAAGGTGTGTTTCAGGCATAACTTCAACATCTCCGCCATTTGGGTCACTTAACTGAATGTTATGGTTGACCGTATCAGCAATAGGCGGAGGGTGGAAAAAATCTTGCTGAAAAGCATCAAAGTCAATATCCCTTTGTTGAGCCTGTGTTACAATTTTGCTCGGACGGATATTAATGGCACACACCCAAGGATTCCGTGTGCGCCTCGTTGAAGGATACTCTGCATTATAAACCTGGGCTGCTTGTTGAGCGAGTATAAATGACTCATTTTTCTGATACACACGAGAGTGGTTGACGTCAATTATATTATATTTTGAATTTTTTCTCACACCACGTGTACGGTCGACCCATGTGCAGCGAAACAACACGCATGTTAATTCTTGCAAACCAGAAAGCATTTGAAATTCTTGCAAACCAGTTGTTGCAACACATAACCCGCTGTTCATTGTTGGTCGACCTTCTCCATATTCAACTGTGTGATACGTATAACCGTTTATCACATATGAATGCCAAACCTTTGCATAGGAAGAATGGCCCCACGATAAGGATACTAACAGAGGGTCGTTAATCCCACGGTACCTGATCTGCAAATTAAAACATGATAACATTAGGTAATGATTAAAAATTACTAGCTAATAGTATATATAATGTATTTATATATATATATATATAATACCTGCTGTTGGTACCATAATGCAAAGTCAGAGTCCACCATTGCATCAATTGCATCATCAGGAAATGCTGATAAAGACGCTCTAAATTCACTGTGAATTGAACATAAAGATATTATTATAACACTCTAATTATTAAAAAAATATTAGCTATATTACAAATGTAACTACCAATTCAACTTACTTATAAAATGGTAAGATTTCTGGACAATTCATGAGGATGTAAGTATGTGCAATTTTCATTTCTCCGCCCACGATGTAACGGTAAGTCGCAGCTCCTTTACCTCTACCTGGGTAGCTGAAAATAGAAACTACTTTATCATATGAATCCTCGCCAATGTCATCGTTCCGAGCAGATCTCTTTCTTTTACTGATTACTTCACGCTCAAAATAAAAAGATGAAAACGTTGAGGTTTCTTGTTGAATATATGCTTGACAAATTGAAGCCTCAATGTGTGCCTTATTGGTCGCTTTCTTTTTCAAATCTCCCAGAAATCTGTCATGTAAAATAAAATTTGTAAACAAACAAATGTTCTTATTAAACAAATCATCGTTTATAAATGAAATTATGACTAACCTTTCAAATCTGTACATCCAACGATAGAAGACGGGCCCTCCATTCAAAGCCTCATACGGAAGATGTATTAGAAGATGTTCCATTACATCAAAAAATGATGGGGGCAGTATCTTTTCCAGATTACACATCAGAATAGGAACAGTGTCTTCTAGTCTCCTCAGGGATTCGGCATCCAAAACGGCGGAACATATCGACTGAAACAATTGACTGATTTCGGTAATACAGCCCCAGACGTCTGCAGGAAGCATCTCTTTCAGTGCAATCGGCAGAAGTCGTTGCATGATTACATGAGCATCATGAGTTTTCATGCTCGACGTCATTGTTTCTTTGTCCAGGTCCACGCATCTTGACAAGTTAGAACAATAGCCATCTGGAAAGTTCAGAGAAACAAGCCACTCTAATATTGATTCCCTTTGTGGGGCTGTGAGTTGGTAGACTGCTCTTGGAATTTTTTTACCCACGTATTCTAGATCGACGGCGAGTTCGGGTCTGTCGCACCAAATTGTCATGTCTTTTCTAGATGCAAGACCATCTTTGGTTTTGTGGGTAAAATCCATAACCGTGTTAAATATATTGTCAAAGACGTTCTTCTCAACGTGCATGACATCTAAATTGTTACGAATGAGAAGGTCCTTCCAATACGGCAACTCCCAAAATATACTTCTCTTTGTCCACTTATGGGTATCACAATACCCATTTGGCTCCCCGTGAGGTTGCTGCACGGCCGTAGGAAAACGTCGAACCCGGTTAAAAACTTGTTCACCTGTAAGTCTCGGAGGAGGGGGATCTCGTACCACTCTTCCGGCAATAAAAGACTTCTTGTCCTTTCGATATCGATGGTTCATAGGCAGAAATTTGCGGTGACAATCAAAGTAACTTGGTTTCCCGCTAAATTTGAGCCAATTGGCCTCTGATTGATCCATACATATCGGACATCCCATAAGACCGTGTGTGCTCCATCCTGAAAGCATACCATAAGCAGGGAAGTCGCTAATGGTCCAAATGATGGCAGCTTTCATGATAAACATCTGATCTCTCGAAACATCATAAGTTGGTGTCCCAATGGCCCAAAGTTCTTTCATCTCCTCGATCAGGGGTTGGAGATAGATGTCTATCCTTTTTTTAGGATCCGAGGGACCTGGACAAATTAAAGTTAAAAAGATGAAATGACTTTTCATGCACATGTCGGGAGGAAGATTATAAGGAGTTAACATGACTGGCCAACATGAAAATTTCTTCCCAAACTTTCCAAAAGCAGCAAATCCGTCTGAACACAATCCCAGTCGCACATTCCGTGGCTCCATTGCAAACTGAGGATGACAACGGTCAAAGTGTCTCCAAGCTTCACAGTCGGAAGGGTGAGACATCAAACCCTCTTTGGTTTCGTGCTCAACATGCCACGTCATGTGTTTCGCAGTAGCATTTGAAGCATACATCCTCTGCAGGCGTGGAGCTAGAGGGAGGTAAAACAATTTAGACAATGCAGACCTTTTTCGTGGTTTTTTTCGTCTATGAGGAACAGGCTTGTATCTCTCTCCACCACAGAACTTGCAGGTCTCAAGTGCCACATCATCCTTCCAGAACAACATACATCCTTCTGGGCACGCATCAATTTCTATACAAGGAAGCCCCAACTGAGACATTAATTGTTTCATTTTGTAATATGAATCAGGAAGATTATGGTCACGCGGTAACATTCCTCCAAATGACTGCAATAACCTAGACATGCAAAATTCAGGAAGATTGTATTCAGATTTAATGTTCATCAACTCTGTAACGGCGGATAGCTGAGAGTATCCCTCACAATTAGCATACAGAGGCTGATCAGCAGCTTTTAAAACATCTTGAAATCTTTCAGCTAAGTCTTCAATATGAGGAACATGAGAATTCGGATACTCATCCACAGCAGACTGATAAAAGGTCTGATCTTCATCCGCATCGGGTTGATACGAGGTCGAAGCTTCGGGAAGATCGTTAAATGGCTGTGGTGGGTTAAACTGCATCGTTGAAGCACCGTATACATCATATGCCATTCTTTGATCCCACGTCATTTGATCATAGTCTCCCCATCCACTCATCTCGGTAGGGACGTTACGAGATGAACCCACTGTTTGCGGTAAAAGTGATGGATCGAAAGGTTCACCATGAGAAGTCCAATTATAATAATTGGCAACGAAACCTTTTTCGTACAAATCCCACACAACTTGGTCGACATCTTTAAATTGAAGATTTTTACACTTTGTACATGGACATCTGATTTTATCTCCATCCATATAATTCTTCTGTTCTTGTGCAAATTTAATAAAATCTTCAACACCATTCAAAAATTCACTGCGTATTCCATAGTTATCACGATGTTTTTGGTACATCCAACTTCTGTTTTGTCTATACATTATGCCTGTATATATATTATAATCAAAATAATATATAAGTACATTAATATTATTAATTAACTAAAAGAAGTACATTATTTAATTTGTGGCATTAATAATTTGAATTAACCAACTTTAATTTGTGACATTAACTAAAAGCGTTGATTTACTAATATTTAACTAATAGTAATATGTTAATGGCATTAATCGTTTTAATTATTAACTACTAAAGTTTGAATCCTAACTGAAATCACTACAAATCCTAACTGAAATCACTACAAATCCTAAATTATGCATTAACAATAATTAACTAATAAACAAATTAAACCTAATCATCATCATTGATCAATTAATTAACTAATATTTAAATCTAACTAATATTATCAACTCAAATTCCTCAATGTTTTAACTTAATTAATTAGTTAATTAATTTACATTTAACTAATATTATTGTTAAATATTATCTCATTAATAATTCACAATAATAATTCACAATAATAATTCACAATAATAATTCACACTAAACTAAATAAAATTAAAGTTTCAACCCGGCCTAGCTATATATATTATGCATCCCATTAACAATAATTAACTAATTTAACTTATTAATTAGTTAATTTCCATTTAACTAATATTGTTAAATATAATTAATTCACAATAATATATAATTCACACTTAACTAATAAAGTTTGAATCCTAACTTAAATCACTACAAATCCTAAATTATGCATTAACAATAATTAACTAATTAATAAACAAATTAAACCTAATCATGCATTATCATCATTGATCAATTAACTAATATTTAAATCTAACTAATATTATCAACTCATCAAATTCTAAACCCATTTCCTCAATGTTTTAACTTAATTAATTAGTCAATTAATTTACATTTAACTAATATTATTGTTAAATATTATCTCATTAATAATTCACAATAATAATTCACACTAAACTAAATAATAATAAAGTTTCAATCCTAGCTAGCTATATTAATTATGCATCCCATTAACAATAATTGCTAATAAATAATAATTGGTGATAACTAATAACCTAATAATTAAGCTAGCTAACTAATTAATTAAATCACTACAAGTCACTAATTAATTAATCTATAATAAGCTAGCTAATACTTAAATCATCACTACACATCCTAAATTATTATGCACTAATAATAACAATAATTTAACTAATTAATATTTATATTTAAATTTAACTAATAATTAATTATTTAACAAACCTCACTGATTAATTATTAAGCTAATAATTAATTATTATTATATAAAGAAAAAAGAATCCTAACCTCACTAATAATAATTAATTAATTAAGCTAATAATTAATTTATCACACAATTAAAGGAAATTAATTAAAATGACATACCTTATCAGCATAAACTCGGAAAATGATGAACTGACGGATTACATCATTCAATCTTTAAACCGATACTACATCACTCGAATCTACGAATTTTTAAACTGATTGTTGTTCTTGCAATTGTAATGGACGATGGAGTTGGGTTATATAAAAAAATTTGTCACGGATTTGTCACGGATTTATCCGTGACAAATCTTTTTCTGTACCGCATTATTAAAGGTTACCGCTGGAAAATCAATAATTGAGTTTTTTTGAAATTTGTCACGGATTTGTCACGGATTTATCCGTGACAAATCTTTTCCCATACCGTATTATTAAAGGTTACCGCTGGAAAATCAATAATTGAGTTTTTTTGAAATTTGTCACGGATTTGTCACGGATCTGTCCGTGACAAATGCCCGGAAGCAAAAAAGTATTCACCGGAGTAAAAAACCGGTCGCCGGAGTAAATTTGTCACGGACCAAATCCGTGACAAAATTTTGTCACGGATTTTGTCACGGATAAATCCGTGACAAATAATTTTCGTGACAAATCCCAAAATTCCGTGACAAAGCTCGTGACAAATTTGTCACGGCCGGAATCCGTGACAAAAATCCGTGACAAACGGCGTGTTTTTTTGTAGTGTTGGATAGTTATAAAAATACAAAGAAACCAGATCAGACCAGATCAGACCAGACCAGACCAGCAAATTACAGTCCAAGTAAAAACATCCTTATTCATCAATGTTTTGTACTATTCATATTTGCATATTTTTTGACACAATGTTTTGTGATTAAAGTTCATCTAATCCATTCATTATTGGCAAGTGTTCAATTAAATGTCAATATTTGTTTTCACTTTTTATAGGAATACTACTTTTTACTCGAACTCATCCCCACACACACACATAGAGTGGGTTTCAAATATAAAGAAACATGTAGGTGAGAAATGAGAAAAAATTCAAGTCATATGATTCGACAATGTTGCAATAAAAGAGGTTCATATTGCCCTGTAATATGCAACTATGCACGATGGCATTTTCGTAAATACTTTGGTGATCTTTAGTGCAATATGAAGCTGTTTTAGTGCAACATCATCAAATCCTAGTGAAACATGAAACTGTTTTAGTGCAATATTGTAAAAATTGACACATAGTGCATTATCGTAGTTCTAACGATTGAAATTCATTTTCATTTAGACCAAAGCTCGCGCGTAGTTAGGATGAATTGAGAGGAATGTTTATTTTAAGAAATGAGAATGTATATATCCGTTGCATCAAATTTGAGATCGATCTATTCTAATGACCGTAAAAATGTAAAAGTGTTTAAAAATGTGATAAATAACCTGATGGTAATTTCACAATTAAATGAACAGTAGTGTATTGAATAAGCGTAAAAGTGCATCAAAGAGAAAATGTGATTGCTTTTAACTATATAAAATGTCATTGTTCTTTAAAAGATGGTCAAAAGGTTAGTCCTCTGTAAAATAAGTACTCCGCAATATAAAAGTTGCATCTCTGACTTGCTTGGATAGAGAGATTTAATAAGTACTCCACAATATAAAAGAAATGTCATCCCCCATTTAATAATTTCCATCAAGATAAATTATACATTTCTAGCTGTAAAATAAGGCCTAAAAGTCTAAAACTTGTCCGGTTGTTCTACTTGTGTGAAAGTTCCAAAGTGGAACCTGAAAATTAAAGTTATTTACTCCCTACTCTTTTATCTCTTACAATTTTAATTATTCTTTAATTTCGATTGTGTATTATGTATTCTTCAAAATACTTAATAGGGAAATTATTCTAAATAGGACAAAAAACGTTTATATATATTCCAAAATAGGATTACCAAGTTTTGCATTCACAAAATAGGACTAATTACTATCATGTTTTGCCAGTATCAGACTTTAAACATGACAATATTTTCCAAATTTCGCAATAAGTACTTCTATTTTGGAAATAAAAACATGACAATCGTATTTTGGATTTTTTAAACTTGTTTACTCTTATTTCGTCCCTACATAATACACGTTTAAAGTATATATACGTACAAGACTTCATGGTGTGTGCACTTAATGGAAACAGTCGAAATAAATCAATTATGGTGCAAATTTCCTTACTCTTTATACTCTTGAAAGGTGTTCTATTTGCCCGAATAAAGCCAATCTTGTTGTGGGAAATGTGTATATTAGTTCACTAACAAGCCTCCTTTAAATAGAAAGAAACAGGGTTTACAAGACATGGGTCAATTGGCCATATTATTAAATGCACACAAAACCCTAGATATACTTTCTATCTATAATGAATGCAAATTAAAGGTAATTTCCTTCAACACTTCCCCTTGTGCTGAGTTGTAGATAGAACGTTGCACTCCATGTTGCCTTGTGAAATCTTCGTCAAGTAACAAAAACCCTGTGGGAAAAATAAACCTTGTCAAGAGACTAGAGTTTATTGGACTTCATTCATTGAGTCCTTTTGGATTCTTTACTTTGATCGTTATTCACAGTTACCTCGTTAAAAACCTTACCAAGTAACAAAAACCCAATGGGAGAAAAATAAAGCTTGATTTAAGGAAAAAAGTATAACGTGAGGGTGTA